GGGGTGTCACTGGGGGGACTGTGGAGGGGAGGTCCCTGGGTCAACTGTGCAGGCGGGATCCCTGGGGGGCTGTGGGGGGGTCCCTGGGGGGCCTGTGCAAGGGGAGCTAGTGGCTGCAAGGACCTACCCTCCCCTGGCCACCAGGGTCACCTCTCCCTTCCTCTTCCCCCACCCACTGCCCAAGGAGGCCAACGGCGTGGGACCCTGGTCCAGGGGAAAGGTCTAAGCAAGTGCCTGAGTGTGGGCTGTTGATACTGAGGAGACGGGGGTCACCAAGGAGGGGTTATGGCCAGTCACCCCCAGGTCCAGGCACGGGAGCTGCAGTGCGATGCCAACCCTCCTGACAACACCGGTCCCAAGCCCTGGGCGGAGTCTCAGGCCAGGCCCAGGCAGGGTCGGCTCCAAGGCTGGACCTGAGTAGGTGGAGACCCGGCCCTGCCTGGGGCCTGCCTTAGCTCCCGTCCCTGGGGCCTGCCTTAGCTCCTGTCCCGGCCCGGCCTGGGACCTGCCTTAGCTCCCGTCCACAATGTGGCGTCCCCAGACACAGCCCTCACTCCCGCTGGGCACAGAGCCCAGGCCCCTGGGTCAGCCTGGCTCCCAGCTGCTGTGTGAAGGTCACTCCCTCCTGCCTCGACCTCCTGCCCTGGCTCCACATGGGGAACCCCATGTCTCCACGCTGAGGAGGGCTCTGGCCCCATTTGCAGGCCCAGGAGCTGCCTGCTGCAGCCTCCACAGGGCCCACCCTGGGCACTGTGGTCCTTAAAAGGCCGGCAGACCCTCAGCTGGCCAGACCCCTGCCCCTAATTACTGGGGTGCCCATCGAAGGTGGGAAGGCAGGGAAGGGCGTTGGGCCTCAGGGTCTCCCCACTCGAGCTCCGCCTCCCAGAGTGTGTGCCTGGGTGGCTGTGCACCCCCACTGCGGGGAGTCCACTGAGTGGGCTGGGCCTCGGTTTCCCTGGCTGTACTGGGCTCTTAGGGCTCTGACGCCAGGATTCTGGGAGGGGTGGGGCCTGCAGGGAGGACAGGACCTTGTCCACTGCACCCTCTGCAGGTGCCCAGTTCTCTGCGGAAATCTGGAATCTCTGTGCGTGCCCAGCTCAAGGCTGAGCCCCAAGTCCCAGAGGGGTCAAAGGGGGTCACTGGGGACCCCAGGAAAGGGTCAGCGGAGGCAGGCGGGTGGGGATGGGCACGTGGTGGCGCTGGAGGGTGGCGGGGCCCAGAGGAGGCAAACCTGTGGGAGAAGCAGTGGGCGGCTGACACCACCCAGCAGGTGTGGACCAGGCTGCCGGCGCAGAAGCTGTCCCCGATGTAGATGGCGGCCAGCCAGGGGTGCGAGCCGGGCAGCGAGGAGGAGCCGCCGATGATGCGCGGCCGCAGGAACGTCCTCTTCTTGTGCCTCTTGCCGCAGGCCTGGCGTCCGGCGGAGGCTGGCTCGGGCAGCACGAGGAGATCCGGGAGTGGGGGCTGGGCTCTGGTGAGGGATTCTAGGACCAAAGATCGCCCAGTCACACTCCTGGGGTCCGAAGGGCCAGCCCCTTTCTCACACCCGCCTCGCCCAGCAGCAGGTACCGCAGCGGGCCATGGCAGGACCCCCTGTCCACGCTGCTCAGGCCCCGGCACCTGCCCACCTCTGCCCTGTTTCCAGATCTGTAGAAGGGGGTTCGATGCCCAATCCTGAGGCTCTGTGAGGGCCGGAGTGGCTGGACACAAGAGGGCTTTGGGACTCCCTCAGCAGCCTGGAACCCCACAGCCAGCCCCAGCACCGTCAGAGACCCCGCGCACGAGAGCCCTGGACGTGGGGCAGGAAGCTGGCGGCCTCTGGGGGCTGTCCGCGCAGTCTGATGCCAGGGGCGCCTGTGGGGAGCCTGCATGCCGTCCTCCCATCTCCTCCCTAGGAGGCCTCTGGGGCCCTACTGGGCATAGTGCAGTCTGGTCAGGTGCCACCAGAGGCCGTCACCTGGTGACCAGCCCCTGCAGCAGGCTGCTCCCCCGCTGTGACCCCAGTACCAACCCACTGCGTGACCTTGGACCAGCCTGATTATGTGAGCTTCAGTTTCCCCATCTGTCAGAGGTGCAGTAGCCAGGTGTGGGAGGGGGTAGGAGGACCACAAGGAAAACTGCTGTGACCTTGGTGAGGCCAAGGCAGCACCCCCCCAGGCTGCGCACCGCAGGCCGCCAGGCGGCAGTACTCCCAGGAGAGCGCGCTGTCCTTCACCACGTAGCACCAGGGCCTCTCGTCACTGTCCGGATTCCTGCAGTGCACGAGGTGGGGCCGGTGGGGAGTCACACTGCCCCTCTGAGAGGGCATGGGGAGGGGTCATCGGAAACCCCCGAAAGGCGGCTTCCCATACCCGGAGCAGCGGGAAGAGCGCGGCCCTCCCTCGGGCAGCATCCCAGGCAGAGGTACCGGGCCCTGTCTGGACGGAGCTGGCCCCACCTGGGTTCTAGGAAGCTGAGGTGCCTCTCCCCGGGACAAACCCCGCCTGCCCCATGTGCGGCGGCCTGGAGCAGCCATGGTGCTGACCGGCAGTAGGCGTGGGGGCCCAGGCCCAGCAGGGCCGCGGTGCCCACTGAGTCCACGTGCAGCTCCTGGTAGAGCAGGTCGGAGTTCCAGGCCAGGCAGCTGAGGCCCGAGGCCGAGGTGTTGGCCACGCCACGGTACCCCGTGCCATTCCCCAGGAAGCAGCGCTCGCCAGGCACTGCGGGCACAGGGCAGTGAGGCCAGTCCATGGCGGGGTCCCCCCACACCGCCACAGGGCACCCGGCCGGCCGACCCACTCACCGATGTTGCACAGACGCCCGGCGTAGCCCGTCGGGCAGGCACACACGGTGGTCCCGGTGGCCACGACCAGGTGGCAGGTGCCCCCATTCAGGCACGGGTCGCTCAGACAAGCTGGGGGCAGGGCCGAGGAGCTGGGGCAGGGCCTCACAGAGCCCCATGATGGTGGGGTGAGGGCCGGGGTCCACCCCTCGTCCCTCATGGCTGGGTGACCTCGGGCAATTCCCCCGCTCGGGTGGGGACAGGGCCACCCCCAGGGTCAGTGGCACGGCCCACACGCCATGGCGCACCTGTGTGTCGGGTGCCTTCACACAAGGCCTGACCCTCCAGGCACTGGCACCCTTCCACGCGGCCCCGGTGCACGCGGGCCCAGCGGTCGCCCTGCTCCAGGTATTCATAGCGGGTCTCATCGAAGCATTTCTCTGAGGGTGGCACAGTGAGCCCCCACTCCCTGGCCACCTGCTGTCCCTGAGCAAGGCCCCGATCCCCATTCACCCCGCCCCACACTCAGGCAGCCCCTCACGATCCCCCATCCTCCCAGGACCTGCTCCAGCCCCTGGCTCTGTGGGCCTCTGAGGCCCCGCTCACCCCCACCCCACACTCAGGCAGGCCCCCGCGTTCCCCCATCCTCCCAGGACGCGCTCCAGCCCCTGGCTCTATGGGCCTCTGAGGCCGCTCACCCGTGCCACAGTCCTTGCCGGTGAAGGCCGGGGGGCAGCTGCAGTGGTGGGACAGGGGGTCCTGGGTGTTGGAGCAAGAGCCCCCATTGAGGCAGGGGCTGGAGGCACAGGGTTCTGGGCCAGCTGGGGACGTGCAGGAGGGGCCGTGATGTGCGGGTTGGGAGCCTCAGGGTCCCTCTGTGATACCCCTAATCGCCAAGGCTCCATCAGGCCCCGGTGAGGGGCTCTGGGAGCAAAGGGGCCTTATCCATGTCCCTCGGGGATGCGAGGCCCCTGGGAGGAACACAGACCTCCCCTCCCTCCCAGTGTCCCTTACTCAGCACCTGGCCGCTGGCCCAGTTCTGTGCCTGGCTCCCTGGAAGCCCGACACCCACACTGTCAGGCAGCAGCCCCTCCCATGTGCCTCTCCCATGTGTGAGCAGGGCGGCCGGCACCACCAGGGGCCTGCCTGTCCCCAGCCCGGGGCTTGCCTATGTGGCCAAAGGGCTCGGCCTCACCACCAGGCGGCGCCTTGCACCCGGCGATGGCTGTGCAGACACCAAGAGACGCAGGTCCCGCCTGGGGGAGGCTCCGGCCCTGGGTGGCACCCCCGGAGCCCCTGTTCTGCCCCCCTGCAGGCAGGACCCCTGCCTGGGTCAGGCCCATTACCCCCTTGTCCCCTCTGGCCAGGCCCAGCACCCCCTGCCAGACCCAGGCTCCCCGACCCGGCACCCACCTGGGCCCCCCGGAGGCGGGGTGGCCTCCACGCAGTAGCCCCAGGCCCTGTCCCGGTCGTAGTTGTGAGTTGTGGCACACCTGGGGGCAACACCTTCTTGCATGAGGGTCCCAGGCAGAGGTTCCCCCACCCCATGACCCTGTAGGGTCCGGGTTCACTGGGTCTGCCTGCTGCATGGTGAGCCCTGCTGTGTGCCCAGCCCCCAGAGCAGCAGGCAGTGCAGGGCAGCTGACCCCAGCTTGGGTGCTCTGGCCACCCAGACCTACCACTTCCTGTGAGCGCTGCCTTCCGAGGTGCAGGCATGGAGCATGCGGCCCCCATAGCGGAAGGGGAACCTGCAGGGCTGCCCGTCCTCCGTGAGTGCTGTGGGGAGGGGTGACGGGGTCAGCTCTCCACCCAGGGGCACCCGACCCCCTCAGGGCACCCCAGCCGCAGCCATGCTCCCTCCTCCCAGAGCCCACCTGACCCACCTTGGGCCTGGGGGCTGCTCGAGGGGACTGCCCTGTGCCGGGGCAGGAACGCCCCACCTTGGGGTCCCTCTGCCTCTGGAGCACTCATTGCTGGGATCTCAGGGGTTACAGAGGTCACCAGGATAGTAGGAATCTCAGAGTTCGCTGTGGCATTAGGTTCTGGGGAGTCCGTGTGGTTCTAGGAGGAGCAGAGAGGGTGTCAGTGTGGGACAGACCCTCATACTCAGGTCCTGCTGGGCAGGAGGCCACAGCCCCGAGCCTGTTTCCCTACTGGGGCCCTCAGATCTTGGAGCAGGTTCCAGGAGGACACATGACATTCCCGGGGCCTCAGCCGGGCCCTGACTCTTCCCCACCCTGGGCCCCCAGTTAGCACCTGCTCAGGGCCACTGCCCAGGCCGAGGCACTGCTGCCCATCAGGCTGCTACCGCGAGGTCAGGTCTGGGTGGATGGGAGCAGCTGGGAGGCTCTCGGAAGTTTCCCCAACCTCACGCATCCAGACCCGACAGAGGCTCAGAGAAGAGCAGCCCCCAGACCCACAGGGGCCCAGGCCAGGGCGCACAGGATGACAATCCCCAGACCCACAGGGGTCCAGGCCAGGACACACAAGGACAGCCCCCAGACCCACAGGGGCCCAGGCCAGGACACACAGGGACGACAGCCCTCAGGCACGAGCCGAGCCCCCAGGCCAGCCCAGCATCCACCTGCCCCGTGAGGCCAGCTTTCAACCTGAGCCCCTACTGGGCCCCTTGGCCCCACAAGACCCCTCTCTGCAGTGACCTTCCCTCTGGTCTCCTCCCAAGGACCCCGAGTGGCCCAGGGAGCCTCTGGTCACACTATGACAGAGTCGGTGCTCACCCCGCCAGGCTGGAGCTGGAACCCGCACGGCAGCAACAGCAGGAGGAGGAGGAGGAGGAGGAGGAAGGGGACCAGCCCCAGTGGGGGGCAGGGGCTGGGGACCCAGGCCCGGTGCCCCATGTCTCCTGAGCAGGCCTGAGGGGCAGCGGGAGGCAGGAGCAGAGCGGCCAGGGCAGGTGGGGTCAAGGCCTTATGGAAATGATTAACTCTGGCGGCCTCCTGTGTAGGGCAGGTCCAGCCAGGGAGGAAGTCCCCGAGTCCCCTGAGCCCCACACCTGCTGCACTCCCTGGAGACCCAGCTGTCCCACTCTGGCCTTGGCCTACACTGGTCCTGGTCCTAGACCTGACATGGTCCTTGCGCCTCAGCTTAGAAGCCTCCTCCAGGAAGTCTTCCAGGATAATGCAGATAGGTTGGGGCCTAGACAGTCTGGCACCAATCCCAGTCCCTGTGGGCCACAGAGCTGGCCATCATCTGCCTGTGAATTGTCCATGATGAGAGCAGCTGTGGGTGCTGAGCCTAAGGGGTCCGGTCTTGTGCCCAGCATGGCAGACAGTAGCGGTGGGGACAGCATTGTCCCCATCCCACAAATGGCAGCAGCACCGGGAGCTCCCGGAGGGTTTGGTGTTGCCTCCTCTCAGTGGCCCCAGGGCTGATCAAAAGGCCAGGCACAGGGGGGTGAGGGGCCATGGGATGGCCGAGGGTGGCTCTTGATGACCCAAGGGCCTGCCCCGCCCACCTATCCTGACTCTGGGGGTGGCTAGGGCCCCCCAGCAGCCCTTGGCGATGTTCAGAGTGTCCCTTCCTCCTCGTCTCCCAGACAGACCTAGGAACTTCTTCCGGGAAGCCTTTCCAACCCCAGCTCCCCACCGCCACCTGGACGGTCCAGGCCAAGTACGCCTCCCTGACCCTGTAGCCTGAGCCCAGGCGGGGCCCCAGCACAATGCTGCGCCAGGTACCCTGGGGCCTGGGATGGGGATGCCACCGCCACCTGGATGGAGCTGGCGTCACAGAATTCATGACTTGGGGCTGTGGGCAGAGCTACCTGGGGAACCTCTTCTGCAATATTGGAGCAGCCACCATGGCCCCTGGGGTTCCCCGTGCGTCAGCAACTGCATTCCAAGGTGGGAGGAGGGGCCAGCGAACCACTGTGGCCTGGAGAGCAGCGAGGGCTGAAGCCACCTCCCTGTGTACCCTAAATCCCCTCTCTGTTCCCCCATTTGCTTATCTGCACAGAGGGAGAAAGAATGGACACCCACTGGCCACCCAGCTTGACACCATGGGCTCAGGGGCACAGTGGACATGGAGGTGTGGTGGGTCCCGGGGGCGCAGTAAATGCGAAGGCACGGTGGGTCCCTGGGGTACTGTGGGTGAGGGGGCGAGGTGGGTCCCGGGGGCACAGTGGGTGAGGGGGC